TGTTTTTTGGAAGGTTTTTCAATTTTTTTTTTCTCTGCCATTATTCAGGGTCATGACTCATGAGGAGAGAAGACATAAAGATAAATAAAATTATTTTATTTAAAAAAATTATAAAATTTAATTTTTAATTAACTACCTATACCGTAAAAAAAAAAGAAGCAATCTTTATCCAAAAAATCTATCAAAATATTTTTTGTATTTATTTATTTATTAAAAAAAACTCCATACCAAAAAACCCAAAAATTTAACTTTTACTTGGTTAAAAAAATCTTTAAACCATAAACTAATTTAGCTTTCTTCATATGAAAAAAAAAACATATTTTAACCTTTTAAAATTGAAAAAAAAAATTAATAGGTTTTATTTATGAAAAAGTTTACAAGATTATATCTTTATAATATTATATGGCATATACAGTTATATTTTATAAAATAAGATATATATAAATATAAGATATAATAAAAAATTCATCATTACACTTTTTAGATTTTATTCTTTTATTCCAAGTGATTAAATATTTATATTAAATATTTTTTATATATTAGATAAATTTAAAAAAAAATAATTCATTAATAAATTATTTTCCAGTTCATTTTCCATAACATAACTAAACACAGGAAAGTGTTTTCAAGTTTATTTTCCATTATACTACCAAACATCAGAAAATACTTCCCCAGAATTTACTTTCCAAAAGAAAACTACTTTCATGCAAACAAACGGGGCCTTAGTAATCAAACATTAAATGAGTTTTAACTAACTATTTGAGTCGTGCTCTGCCACTAATCATATATTTTATTTACCAATAAAAAAATTAACCATGTAGACTTCTTCAATGCATTTTTTTTATAAAAAAATAAAAATCAAAATCAAAATATTTATACACACATCTAATTAAATAAATCAAGAGTCGTTTGCATAAATAAATGGAAGAAAAAAGTCATTAATAATAACTAAAAATAAATCTAGAAAAATTAAGAAATAAATATAAATTAAGATATTTAATCTCGGAACACAATATATTTAAGATTATTGTGTTTAATTAGTTTCAACACAAGATATTTAAGATTATTGTGTTTAATTAGTTTGTTAGTTGTAATATTTTTTATTAAATCAAATGATAATAGAAACCAGCATTCATATAAAATTGATTGAATAAGTTAAAAGGAAAACAAATATTATGCATATTTGCACATATTAGAAATACTATCCAAAAATAATATGTTTTATTTTTAAAAATAACTTTCATATATATAAAATGAAAAAAATATAAATGAATCATAATAACCTCTTCAAAAATTAAATACATATAAAATAATTAAAAAATAATTGCTTTTAAAAAAAAAGGTAAATAAGCACACATAAAAAAATCACAAAGAAGGGGTGTTAATTTAAATATAAATTAAAAAAAATCATTTTAAAAAAATGTATTGGTTTAAAACAAAAATATTAAAATAAAATAAAAAAAGATCAAGTGCTACTAGGTCTAGCAAGCTAAGTCAGACGCCTGATGGGGGCCGTTATTTTTTTTAAGTTGATGGAGTGGACGACATGTTATCTGCCATAATTTTCTTGAATAAATAAATAAAAATAAAGGACTTATTTTATGGAATTCTTCATTTTTCAACCGCTAAGCTGCTAGAAAATCAAGGTTCTTGGTTTTTTGGCTTGTAAGCTCTTTTTAAAGCTATTTTTAATCTAAAACACCTAGAATATAACATGAACTCCTTGATCAACCCATGAATGGGCATACAAAACAACATAAAAACCTGAAACTATAAATATTTTATGAGCTCAAGTTTGGTTTTTAGGCAATTTTAAGGTTTAAAAATACCTAAATGAAGGCCTTATGACCAAATGAAACCCATTGACACCAAGATAGATAATTTTAGTGATTGGAATCATTGTCAGCAATGATTTTCTCTCTTTAAT